CCGTAAGATAAAAGTAGTATCAGTTTTCTAGAAAGGTCTTTTTAATGTGCATGTAGCATACCCTGATTATCAAAGCCTAGTAAGAAAATTATAATAAAAATACCTCGAACATTGGTGTGCATATTCTGAACAGAGTATTTGTGAATTAAATATTGTGATAAATAAAATTAAAACTATATTCAAGCTGGAATTATTCCAAGTCTCTTCAATTACTAGTTTTATTGATGTGAATTTAGTGCAGCTTTATTAAGGGCATTTGTAACATTTAAAATTTATAAGTATAAAAGTGTGGAATTAAATATAATTGTTAGTTTTGTGCACTTCTTTCCCAGTGTTATTCTAAGTATTTAGAAGTTCCCTGACAGCTTAATTGCATGCTTTACTGTTCTTAAACATTCTTTATTATGGGAATAATTTTTCAATACAGTTTTCTCTGAAGGTTCATTAAAAATGTGATTTGTCTATAACTACTTTCTCAGTTTCTAATAACCTAAGTTATAGTTTTTATTTTGATATGCTCCTCTTTTTACTTGCTTCAATTATTATTTCAATTTATTATATTATAGTGTTTATGTTAGCTATCTTACTGGATAATGGATTAATTCCAAGTTTTAAGCAGTACTTCTAAAGGAAGCTTTTGAAGAAAGATGTTTTTCCTTCCTTTTATAGATAAAGTGATTAATTACAGTGCTTATAAGGGTGAGCTACTTAATTTAACTGGAAACTAAAGTCTTTTATTAAGCTTTATTAATTGTGTAGTTTGGATTTTTTGTGGTTTATGTGGTTTTATAATTTTATGATTTTTCTTATAATTTGCATTATATGTTTTTAAAGTTAAACAGATAAAGATTGAATACTGGATATTATATGCTTAAGGTATTACTATTAATTTTGTTGAGTATCACACTGGTAGAGTTTATTTTAAAACAATTTCTATCTGTTAAGACACATACTGAATTTTTTTTTTTAATTTTATTTTGAAAGTAGTAAAAATGCAACAGCACAAGACAGAACAAAGCCAATCGAGACATTGCAGTGAAATTGGTACAGGATTTCACAGTAGGATACTGGGATAGTAGTAATATGTACTATGGTATATCTCTTTAACCTCACAATAGTTGTCCAGTCAATTAGGTATAGCAAAATCAAACCAAAAATAGAACATTATAAAACCCAATTGAGAATACTGAATAGAGCAAAAGAAACATAACAAAACAGTGAAAACAACCTATGCCTTCAAACAGAGATAGAAGGAAATCCCCCATATTTGTTATACTGCATAAGGTCATCCTCCCAAGAGATGCTGAGACATCTATCCCCGGTAGCTATGGGGGGGGGGGGAGGGAAGGGTGCTTGATTTTCAGCCTGCATGGCAGTAGGCTCACAGGTAATGGTTCTCTGCCAGGCCCACGCTGCAGGCACTTACCAAGAGGGCGGGTGAATAAGCTGCCTGAATCCTACCGTGGCTGGATCTCGGGAATACCACATACTGAATATTTACAGAAGAAATGATGTGGTAACTAGGATTTGCTTTGAAATATTTCAGAAATAAAAACGAAGAAGAGGAGACTGATGAAAAAAGATTGTCAGCCCTCTCTGTAATTGATTGAATCACTTTATGTATCATGCTTCTGTTGTGGAATCTTAAGACTCTTTGCCTCACTGTATATTGTAGATGTTTCTGTTGCATTTCCTAAAAGTTTTACTGTTTTACATTTTACTTTTAACTCTGTGATCTGTTTGCAGTTCATTTTGGTATGAAGTATATGCTATGGTTTGAATCTGGTTTGTCCACACTGAAATTCATGTTGAAATTTAATTCCTAATGTAAAGTTATTGAGAGTTGGTGGAGACTTAGACATGATAAGGTTGTTAAAAGAATTGAATTTTTTTCTTGGAGACATGATTTAATTTTTCACCAGATTTTATTATGAAGTGAGGCTTTCCCTTATGTTCCTTCTCTTTTGCACACACTTGATTGCCTTTCCATTTTCTGCCATGAATTAAGGAACCATAAGGCTCTTGGACTTCCAAACCTCCATAATCATGAGCTAAATGTACATCTTTCTTTCATAATTTATCTAGTCTTAGGTATTCTGCTATAGTATCAGAACTAAGACAGAATGAGTTTTAGGTCAAAGTTCATGTTTTCACCTATGGATATCTGCTTCCTCCACCATTGTTGGTTAAAAGTTTTTCTTCATTGAATTGTTTTTTCAATTTTATAAAAAAGCAGGTGGCATATTTGTATATATTGCTGGGTTCGGTATTTTATTTAAATGAATGTATGTCTGTTCTACTGATTCTACACTTCTTGATTGCTCTCTGTTGGTCCAATCCTTAACATCAGGCAAAGTGTGATTGCTTCTACTTTATTCTTCATTTTCAAAATTGTCTGTGCTATTTTAGATAATTTATCTTTAAATTATGAAAGAAGATTATCTAGGTCAAAAAAATTGCTAGGATTTTGGTAGAAAGTGCATTGCATGTACAGATCTATTTGGGGTTAATTGATATTTTCTGCACTGAATCAATCTGTCTATGATCATGTTATGTCTGCATTTTTCTAAATCTTCTATTTCCTTACTCTTCTAATTTGCAAGACACACATTCTTTACCATTTTGTTAGGTTTACTTTCATCTGTTTCATTTTTGGGGAGAGGTATAGTTTTCATTTGGAGCTTGCATGTCTGACTTATTTCACTTCAGTTTTTCCTTTATTTGAGAATGCTTTTGTTTCTCTTCAATTCTAAAGGATATTTTTCACAATTTAAAATTAATGATTGACGATTCTTTTAGACCTTTATAAGTGTGTTTCCTTCTTGGCTCCATTGTTTCAGACAAGAAATCTGCTGTCATTAGAATTAATGTTTCTTTATAGTTAATATGCTTTCAAGGTTTTTTTCTTTAGTTTTCAGAGGTTTATGACTTTGTCTTTAGTTTTTAGAGTTTAATTGTATTATATCTTAATGCAGGGTTCTTTTGGTTTATCCAGTTTGAGATTTACTTTATTCCTTGAATCCATAGGTTTTTTTCCTCTAAAGTTGCAAAATTTCAACCATTGTTTTTTTATATGCCTTTTCAGCCTTATGCTTTCCTTTTGAGTATTATTATATATGCAGGAATGATGCATATGTATATACAGTTATATATATTTTGTTACTGTCTCATAAGTACTGATGATAAGTCTTGAACTGTATGACACTTTTTCAGTGAAAATGGGGCACTAACTTGTACTGCCTTGTTGGCTCCTCTTGGTTGCATAAATTCAGGTCCCTGACTGGCCCCACTGCTGCTGTGGAAGGAGGATGGACTCATTTTGTTGGAGGTCATTTTGTTGCTATAGGTTGGGGTGGCTTTCCTTGGAGAGCTCCCTGCTGGGCTCTGTTGACCTCAGATGAGAGGGAGAACTCAAGTACAAGGCAGACATGGCTCTCTGTAGTTCTTTTGCATCATTGATGGTGATTATATCTGAAGCTCAGCTTTCTGTGTTGCCTTGGGTGAAGGGCAGAGCAGAATGCTGACAGGTTTACTTTCACAGAGAGTCATGTTGGATATGAATGGAATCTGTGTTCATTGGGTTCTGCTGGCATTGCTTGGATAGGGAATTGGAGTGCCACTTATTTCTGTTAGGTGGAAAATAGAAGTTACTGTGCCTAGTTCAGGCCCACTGAACCCATGGGCAGGGCTTTTGTCATTTGACTAATGTAGAATGAATACTGATAAAAATTCATTGTTTTATTAGGCTACTTTGTTTCCTGTCTTCTGGCATGGGAAAACAGGTTTTTCGTGACAAATACTTTGTGAATGTATGTGGGTTGGAAGTTTTCATGGTATCCTGTTTGGAATATATAATATGTGATAAGTATACTCAGAGAATTTACCTGTGCATTTCTTTTCAAGGCCCAAGGTAGTCTGCTTTCTTTCTGTATCTCAGCATCTGCCTATCCTTGCTATGTTTTATTTTTGTTGTTGTTGTTGTCTTTTTCCTTTTTATTGGTACCGGGGATCGAACTCACGACTGCCTGCTTGCAAGGCAGGCGCTTATGCCGCTGAGCTAAATCCCCAGCCCCCATTTTATTTGGTTTTTAATTGTGAGGATTTCTAAATAAGGTAGGGTTACTTCATCTTGGCCAGAACTGGAAGTCTTTATACTAGACTATAATTAATTAATAAAAGTCTAAAATCTTAGCTATACACATTCATTGTACACATTTATTCCTCCTATTTAAAATGTTTTAGAGGAAGAGCTTTATTTTTGTTAGTTATTTTGCAGTTGACCTTGGACATAGGCTTTCAGCTTTCATATATGAGTGATGAAATATTAGACTAGATCATTTAAGGTTCCTTCAGTTAATATTTTGTAGTTTTATGATCATTAAAATAGTTTGTTTAAATAAAGGTATATTATTATTATTGCTGAGATAGAGGAAAGAACTTTGGCGTTGAAGGTGGGGCTGTGTCTGAATTCTGTAAGATGGAGAGGCAGGTTTTACATAGCTGTTAGGAGCACAGACACCAGAGCTAACATGCCTGAATTTGCATTTTGGATTTACCTTTGTTAGGTATATTATTTTGGACACATTGCTTAGCTTCTCTTTGTCTTAGTTTCTTTATTGATAAAATGGTAGTGATAGTGATAGTACTGACCTTACAGGCTTGTTGTGAAGATTCAAGGAGTTATCATGCACAAATGCTTGAAACAGTGTTTGAATGTTTATTATTATTTAATGTGTGGCCTTTGGTTAGTTTTAATATGAATTACAGTTTTTGCCATCTATAAAGTAGGGATCATTATGTGTGTGCATATATATTAAATATATATATTTACATCTTGCTCAATATTTAATGTCACTTATATATTATTTTGTATTTAATATAAATTAAATTGAAAGTGCTTTATTTCATAGGTTTCCAAATATTTTTTTCTGAAGCACTCTTTTTACTAAAAATAGTTCTCTAAAGGAGGCTTGATTTATTTTCTTTCCACAATTGCATAGAACGGAAGGATGCTGAAGGATGGAAGACTGTACAGAGAGGAAGGCCTGTCCATTCTCGATCAACAGCAGTGGTGCCAAAAGTGTCCTTAGTGACAGATGCTTCAAGGTTGAAGGATGATGCTAATAAAGAAAATTTATGTCTTTTACCTGAGGAAAGTATACAAAAAGGTGACTTTTTTGGAGATAGTTCTTCTAACCCTGTAGAACCTCGGTCCAAAGATTCATCTCACTCTTCAGACTATTCTCTTGCTGAGAGAACCCAGGTAATATATTCTGCAAACTGTTTACTACTTCCTACAAAGGATTTGTGTTGGAATGCCTCATTTTTCTACTTCATTTTCACCTTTATACTTTGTGTAATTTGATACCTACAGAATGATTAAAAGTGTAGTATAGTGAACTTTCCTCCAATATATTGTTCCCCCTTGATTCACAAACATTTGCTATTTTTAAAATCTTGCTATGTATATTTATATGCTAAATGTTTGAGACTAATGTGCAAATAATAACCATTCACCTTTAAATTACAGCATGTATTTCAAATATCAAAGAAATTATTTTGCATAAATATAAAGTTCATGAAAATTGACATTTATACATTGTCTAGTTTATAGTCTGCATTCTGTATTTTCTTGTTTCCCACTAATTTCTTTTTTGGAATTTTTAAATATGTGGACTAATGATCCAGTCCAGAACCATATAACACATTTGATCTTGCTTCTTTAATATTATTTATTGAGGACATATTCCTCAGCTCTTTCTTGTATTTTATGACTTTTGAAGTTTGAAAGAAAAGAATTACATAATGTCCTTTTTATTTGTTGCCCATAACTTAGATTAGGTAGAGCCTTTCTTATAGGAATAAAGTCAATTTAGATAGTGTCATATGTGTAGGAATTTACCTAGTTTTCTTCTTAACTTTGATTGCTTAATTAAGGTGATATCTTTATTAACATTGACAATGAAAGTAAAATTTTTTAAATTAATTTTGGAAATCAAACTCAGGACCTTGCACTTGCCAAGCTACTGCTGTACCTCTGAGCTATATTTCTGGGCCCTGTAGTGAAATTTTTGACTTGTTCTACTTTAGCTTCCTTCAAATGCTAGTATTTACATAACTGTGAATAGTATAAGCCTGGCAGTATAGGTTTCTTCCCCTAGCATGAAGGCTAACCTAGGAATAATGCATTGGGTTACACTGTTAGGAAGGTTACTAAGTCACTAGCCAATAGAGACTTTTCTGCTCCATTATAATCTTGTGGACCTACCCTTATATATGTGATTTGTGATTGACCTAGCATATGACTGTACATATTCTGTGTTATAAATAAATCCAGCTATATTTGAAAAAACCCAAATGCTAGTATTCAGTATAAATTTTATTATTCCAAATATATTTCTTTTGTCTCTGTAGTTGAAGTTTGATTTACTGATTTTATGAGCACTAAATGATATAATTTTATGTTAATTGACTGAAAACAGGAGATATTCTTTCCATCATAGAAAATATTTTAAGTAAAAGTTATATTTTTAATTAATATTTACTGTTTAAATTTTTCTTTTACATGTACTAATAAAAATAAAATTTTTCTTTTTATCCATAGCATATTTTTTTGCCCTTTAGAAATACTCCTCAGCTTCCTTGTTTTCTTTTTTAATTATAGGAGCTGTTAATTCTACATTATTCTTTATGTGATATTGCTCTTTAGGGTGTGTATTTTTTATGCCTGTGCAAGATTGTAAACTGATATCAGGTAGCTTTTTAATTTCTGACAATAATACAAAACAGCCTAGACACATGGGAAGTAGTCAGTTCATTATGTAAGTTACGCTTAAGAAAATCTTTAAAGGAGATATTTAATGAAGAAATCTCTTTAATTTTAGTTAATAGACACCTAGCATTCCTGCTAAGGTTTTTAAATCTAAAAATACAACTTTATATAAACATGCTGGTTTTGTGTAGTGAATAAACTTGTATGATATTGGGATTCAGGAATAATTCATACATAGAACTTAATAATTAAACTATTGCTAAAATGTTTTAGTATATTATAAAGTGCACTGCTTATAGTTTCAAGCTTTATGATCATATTTGTTTTTTGCACTATCATTCTAAAAATGGAATTTAGCATATCTTTTATCAAGAGAGCTTTATGCTTTAGCTTTGATTTTGTTACATAAATGGTACTGCATTTTTTAAAAACAGTCGAATATATTGTAAACATTAGTAATGCTAATATAAATATTGCCAAGAAGATTATAAACTAGGATGACTGGCATATAAATAATATTGATAGCACTATAAACAGTGTGATACAATTCAAATAATGCTTATGCTAAAATCAACACTTTGGAACACTTTAGGTCCTGACCAATAGTAGAATTTCTAAAGTAGTTTATAAGACTTGGCCAAGTTTAATATTTGTGTAAATAATTAATCAAACTGGGAGTTTTATCATCACTGCAATGTTTGTCTAATGTTTATTTAAGAAGTGATGTGAATTTCAAGTTCATAATTTTAGATTGTAATCCTTTGTCTTGGTGTATAATTGAAAAGCAAAACACCATTCTCTATTAGAAAATGAAAATAAAGATTTAGTTTTATTTACTAGATTAGAAAGTTTTTTAAAAAAAATATATATATATATATATATATATATATTTGATCTAAGCCAGTTTTAAAAAATTATGATTTTTATATTTTTTGCAGAATTTGTGTGAATTATTCTTAGTGGTCAATAGAGAAAATATCTAAAGTATGTGAATTCATGATGAGATTCCATATATTCTAAATCTATACTTTCAGTGCATTCCTTCCTCTTTTAGTTTGAGGATTAGTACCATGAACCATATACATTTTATCAAAGATATTATTTCGAGGTCAAGTTAGTATTATCTGAAGAGAGCAAGTTTTATGTTTTTGAGTAAAATGCCTCAAAGTTATTTTGGTAAAAACAGTTTCAGGATTTTTTTTCAAAAGTGCTGAATACCCTCATGGTTATTAGACAACCTTGACAAAAATCTTCATAGTACATTTAGTTGAATGATTATAACATGAAGCATTGTATTTGTGATTGAATGTATTTATGGAGAAGAAATACTTTTCAAGAAGCAACCTTCTAAAAGACAATTTAATTACAAGTAGTATTGGATAAATTCTGAGAGTTGTTAGAACAATGCCCATTAGGTATTAGGCCTGCAAATAAAATTTGTGTTTTTTCCTTTTGTGGCACCTCATACAAAAAAGATGAGTGAGTTGTCCATCTGCTAGTACTTCTTACCATTGAAAGGTTAAACAGAACCAGCTCTTCTAGAGTTAAGTAGTTAGTTGTTTTTTATTGTTTCTGATTCACTCTGTGAATATGTTTTGTTAGTTCACAGTGAATACAGTGGATGATGCCAAGAGTTCTGGCAGTAGTCAAGACTGTTCTTTGCAAACTTATGAAATACCTGCTGTTCATATTGATGAAGAGTGTGTCTCAGTCACTCAGCAAGCTGACACAGCTCCTTTACAAACAAATGAAGAAAACCTTCCGCCAGAGAAAGAAAGGATAGAAAGTGAAATGGATCCTTCAGATATTTCAAATGTGAGTGCTGCTCACTTGGTAAGAACAACTTATCAGAATTCTGTATAAATACACTAAAAAAGAATAAACCTTAATAATAATAATTTGTACTATTTGATATATATTTTATAAAGAATTTTATGTTATTTAAGATAAGGTTCTTAGAGTGATTTTTTTGGTATAGTTGATTCTTTTGTAGAAATAGAAACTAAGAATAAGAGAATAAAAAATTATTTTAAATTATTAAGTTTATATATCATTTGAGCATTGAGAAACTAAATCTAGAATCATGAACCACTGGGTTCAGTCCTAAGCACTGCAACAGTAACAACAATGAAAAAGAAAAAGGAATCTAACTAAAGTGATTAAAGTCTTCATTTCAGTGTCTGGCATTCTGATGTATGTTGCTTACTAGATTTAGTCTTTAAAATCCTCTTAATGGATTACTTTAAATATCTACCCTTACTTGGTTAGAGTTGGTATTTGAGATGGAATTTTATTTACTGTTCCTATTCCAGAATCTCTAAAAGCATATTAATTATATATAGGTATGTGTATTTGAATGATTATTTACTTCTACTTTTCCCAGTTTATGTTCGTATTAAGATACTTGACGTGGGGGTAAGCCAAAATAGGTTAGAGAAGTTTCAGACTATTATATAATGAATTTGTATTAGCTTTATTTGCCTCTTTTCAACTCACCATAATTATTTTGAGGCTTATCCACATAGCTGTGTATTAATAGTTTATTCTTTTCATCATCTTTATTTAAGTTATAATTTGCAGAACATACATTTCATCCATTTAAAGCTATCATTGTTTTTGAGTTGTGTATTCATTACCAGAATCAATTTTAGAATATTCTTCATTTCAGAAAGGAACCAAGTGTCCATTAGGAGTCATTCTCTTCCATTGCCATCTCTACCTTCCCAGCTCTGACGGTCCCTCTCTGCCTCCTGTCTGTATAGTTTTGCCTCTTTTAGACATTTCATAAGAATGTAATAAAATATTTAGCTCTTTGTGACTGGCTTCTGTTACCTGGCATAGTGGTTTAAAGATTCACTCATGTTTAGGTCAGTACTTAATTCCTTTTTATGGTCAAGTTATAGTCTAGTGTATAGATGGATATATGCTACATTTTATTTATCTGTTCATCAGTTGGACATTGAGGTTGTCTTTGCTGTCTCATTATTATTATGAATAATGCTTCTTTAAACACTTGGGATTTTGTTGTGGTTTTGTTTTGTTTTGTTTTTTGAAACAGTCTTTCTATGTAGTTCAGGCAGGCCTTGCACTCATTATATAATTCAGACTGTCCTCCTGCCTCATCCTCCTGAGAACTGGGATTACAGGTGTGTGCCACCACACCTGGCCCTGCTTTAACTGATGATTTCCAAGCATATTATTTATATTATATCTGCATATTTTTAAGTTAGGTATTATACACCAAAATGCATTTTGATTTTATATATAATATTTTTTAACCATTACAGCATATATTCTCTGTTATACTATTATAGTATACTATTTTTGCTTTATATTTACTGATCATGTTTGATTTGTAACTTTTGAATCTTGACCTTCAAATGAAATTCACAACTTTTCATTAATAATTTATTTATGTAACTTTACAGTTTCTCTCACACAGCAGTCTGGTAAAGAAGGTAAGTCATGGATTACTGTTGCATTTTATGGAATTACAGGTAGGTCTTGGTTTTGAGACACTTCAAGTCACACAACTGGTAAGTGGTTGTGTCTGTTTTGGACCAAGGTCTTATGATTTTAGGTCAATAAACAGTTCTCCATGAGAAATGTAATCATTATATACATGTACTGCAAACATGTAGTACTAATAAAGAATACAAATTGGAAAAACATTTATTATTTTGTATAGTGTTCTGATCATGGTTAGAATATAAAGAAATATGCTTCACTGTTCAGTACGGTGATAAGTCTTTTTTTGTTTTGTTTTGTTTTTACCTTTTTAGTCCATGGCAGAAGTCCTTGCTAAAAAAGAAGAACTAGCAGATCGTCTTGAAAAGGCCAATGAAGAGGCCATTGCTAGTGCTATTGCTGAAGAAGAACAGTTAACTAGAGAAATAGAAGCTGAAGAAAACAATGACATTAACATTGAAACTGATAATGACAGTGATTTTTCTGTGAGCTTTTAGAATTTTTAACTTAATTCTTCAATTATGTATAGAAATAAAATGATTAGAACAAGGAAGACTTAGATTTCATCTATTCTCATTTAAAATTATTTCTTTAAAAATCATTTTGGTAAGATAGATTATTTTCATGGTGATTTTGATATATAATAAGCAATAGCAAGTTTAAAAAATAAACTACCATTATTAAGTAATTTTATGCATGATCCAGTTATTGAATTGGAAGTTATTATTCTCATTTTACAAATTAAGTTGATTCTCAAAGCAAGAACTCAGTGTTACTCAGATTGTCATTTTAAAGAGTAAGAATCTAACTCTTACATTATAACCAAGGGAGAATGATACACTGCTTTACTATCAGTCTCTTATATATAAAGGGAATTTGTTAAAGAGTTAAAAGTAACTACAAGTTTTGTGTTTCATGTATTTTGTTATTAAATTTTATGCCAGTAAATAATCTTGAGCTCTGCCAGTGTGTACTTTATATATTATTTGTTTATTTAATGTAAATTTACTTCTTTTGTATCTGCTAATCATTAGTAGGTACTTCCAATTTATGAGCTGTGGTATTTTAACTTGGTAATTATTATGATTACATAAGGTATGTAGCTTTTTTCTGGTTTTAAACTATTATTAAATGAAATATATTAAAATACATAGGTCAATTTTATGTATAATTTTTTAAAGTTAGTAATAATCGTGTCCAAAAAATAATTTGCCATTTTCTCTTGTTATATTTTAGGCCAGTATGGGCAGTGGGAGTGTATCTTTCTGTGGCATGTCTATGGACTGGAATGATGTTCTTGCAGATTATGAAGGTATTTGTGTGCTTGTGTATGTATGTGTTGGTAGGTACAGCAGCATATACTAGATTATCTTTCAAGCAATTTTTATATAAAATAATTTAAGATAGAAATGTTACAGACTGTTAAAGTCTGTTCTCAAATGTTGGTAATTGTTAAACAATAACAGTATTTTATTTGTTTACTTGTTTGGTTTGGTTTGATTTTTTTTGAACAGCTCGTGAATCTTGGCGCCAAAATACATCCTGGGGGGACATTGTAGAAGAGGAACCTGCTAGACCTCCAGGGCACGCAATTCACATGCATGAAAAACTTTCCTCACCATCTCGTAAAAGGTTTGGTGTTTGAGAATTAATTTGAAATGTTTTACAGGAGGGAAACCAGCCGTCTTTGACTATTACATAGAGTTACTACATAATCTTTTTTGGCAAATAACTTCAGAACAGTTTGAGATCCACTGAAAAGTGACAGTGCTTTCCGAAAATGCTAGGTCAAACTGAGTTTTGTATACTTTAAGACCTTTGAAGTCACTATTTTTAGGTTATTATGTAAACATTTGTCTCTTATTCATTTGTTTTTATTAATAGAACAATTGCAGAATCTAAGAAGAAACATGAAGAAAAACAAATGAAAGCACAACAGTTAAGGGAAAAGCTGCGTGAGGAAAAGACATTAAAGCTGCAGAAACTTCTGGAAAGGGTGAGTTTTTATTTTTTTAGGAAATTATGGTAGTCTTAAATTGGTGAGCTTATTTTGAAGTAGACTTTTTTCTTGTTTTAGATAAGCCAAAAGAAGTATAAAATAATTACATTTGCTAGGAAATAAAGTCATTTTTATCTATTAAATTGAAGGTTAACTGATTTAAAAAATTGTCTTTGCTAAAATGTATAGTAAATTGATACTTTACCAGGTTGGCTTGGGGTTTTGAAGCAATACTTTGTCTTTTGTCATTTTTATTGGGAAGTTTCCTTGGGTGGGCTTGCCCAAAGTGTGGAACGACTTCCTAGGACAGTTTTGAGGTGGAGATTATTAGAATTCTTATGTGTGTTTGGCCTGTGGTCAGTCTTAGCCCGTGACGCTCACTTGGTTTTATTATTGTTAGTGTGCGTGTGGGTCTATGAGTAACCTCCTCAGCTACAAGGGTTTTAAGTTACCACCCAGGCCCCAGTGCTGTAGCTGTGTGCATATTCACTGCTGGCCCTATAGTCATTTGCACAAATCTTGGAAGAGGCAGCGAATCTGAAAGTTGTGGGTTGTTTTAGATGATACAGTAAGAAAAAAAAAAATAACAAAAAAAAATTTAGCTAATCTAAATAGAAACTAAAGAGTCAAAATCAGAAATGAAAGTATAGTCATTACAATAAATGAGACAGATAAAACAAATACAAGGGACTGTTATAAGCAACTGTATGCCATCTCCAGAACTGTGAGAGTAAGTTTGTCTTCTTTGTGCCATTAACCTGTGTCTGCTGATCTAAGCAAATGGAGACTCAATGTATGAAAAGTGTGCAACATCGTAATCAATTGGAAAAATTTAGTATTTGGTAAAAGGCAGAATGTCCACTCCCATCACTTTTCCCAACATAGTACTAAAGTAAAAGTAAAAGCAGCCATGAAAATAAAATAAAAAGTGCATTTAAACCAGAGGTAAAATTATCTATATTTGCAAGTGGTATGATCATATCCATAGAAAACTTAATAGCTGCATAAAAGAAATAATATGCAAATTCAGTGAAGTTTCAAGACATGCACTCAATCTATAAAAATTAATGGAATTTTTATATACTTACGAAATATCTGAAAGAAAAATCAGTAACATAATCCTCTGTACATAAGCATTAGAAAAAAGAAAATAATTGGGACTCAAAAAATATTAAAGGTTGTTCACTCAAAAAATAAAATATTGATGAAAGAAGATACAAAAGACATAAGTGACTCTGAAAACATCTCTTGTTCATGGATTGGAAGAACTAATATTGGTACAAAAGCCATACTATCTTAAGTAAACTACAGATTCTGTACAATCCCTATTAAAATCCTAGTGATGCTTTTACTTTTTTTACAAATGGAAGAATAGATAGAAAAATAGAAAAAATAAAGCCTGATATTCAAATGGAACTGCAACAAAACTCCAGAGATAATTAAGATAAAAACATACAGATTCTAACAGGACATAATAACCAGTACAGAGGGGCTGGGGATTTAGCTCAGCGGCATAAGTGCCTGCGTTGCAAGCAGGCAGTCGTGAGTTCGATTCCCGGTACCGATAAAAAGGAAAAAGACAAAAAAAAAAAAAAAAAAAAAAATCAGTGCAGAAATAAACGGCAGTTATGACCAGAAGATCCTTTGACAAGGATGCCAAAAACACAGGATGGGAATAACTTAGTATTTCCAACAAATCAGGAAACAAATTAGGAAAACTGGATACCCACATGGCAAAAAATGAAATTACTCCATTTGACTTAGCTATGCCCTTCTAAACATTTTCCCAGAGGAATTAAAAGCATTGTATCACAGTGATGTATGTGCAGCACAATTTGTAATAGCTAGATCTTAGAACCAAAATGTCTATCAATTGAAAAACTAATAAAAAGAGATGTGGTCTTTCTATATACTCAGCCATAAAGAAAGTAAAACTGGAGACTTTTATAAGTAAATGGATGCAACTCAAGACTACTCATAACTGAAATAAACCAGGCACACATGTGTTGTGTTGTTTGCCTAGTGTGAGAAACCGAAAGAGTAAATAAGATCCAAAATGTACAATAGATACTGTAAAATGGGAAGAAACTTCTGAAAGAAAGAGAAATTGGGATGAGGAAATGGAGAAAAGAATGAAGAGAAGAGCAAAAAATAAATAAAAAATAGTTAAGATAGCTGTACTACTAATTTCTCTTAGTTCATTGAAAAGAAAGATTTGAGGGGCTGGGGATTTAGCTCAGCGGCATAAGCGCCTGCCTTGCAAGCAGGCAGTTGTGAGTTCGATCCCTGGTACCGATAAAAAGGAAAAAGACAAAAGAAAAAAAAAAAGAAAAGAAAGATTTGTGCAGTATCGTTTGGAGAATTAAATGCCTATATCTTGTACTCTGAGTAACTAATTTAAAGATAGCAATACACAATGTATTAACCATTGTTATCCTCCTAATATCTTGTTTCAAAGTTTTGATTTTTTTCTTTAAAAAAATGAAATTAGACACTCATCTAAAACCATACACAAACATCAGTGTAAAATGGAGTAAAACTTAAAGCACAAGTGCTGAAACCATAAAATATTTTGAGGAAAATAGAGGGAAGTCTTCTTTATGACATTTGTCTTGGCAGTTACATTTTGAATATGATACCAAAAGCACAGGCAACACAAGCAAAAATGGGGAAGTAGTATCATATCAAGTTAAAGCCCTCTATGCAGCAGAGAAAAAATCAACAGAATGAAAGACAGCTTACAGAACAGGAAAAAATACTTGGAAGACATGTCAACTATGGCCTTATATCCAAGTAGTTAAGGAACTCACATAACTCAGCTGCCATAGAACAAATAACCTGATTCAAAATGGTCAATGGACTTAAATAGATAGATCTTAAAAGGACAAATTCAAATATAGAAAGCTCTTCAACTGTTATAATGACCATGAAAAGGCAGATAAATCAGCAGTGAGAGAACACCTCACACTGTTCCATTTCTGTAACACAAAGGCAGAAGTGAAGTGTGGGTCAGGGTGTGCAGAAAGAGCCCTTATCTGCCTCTGCTGGGAATCTAAGCTAGTACAACCATTGTGGTTAGCAGGATGGAATTTTTCTCAAGAAGTGAAAACAGTACAACTGTATAATCCAGAAATCTTTCTGGTACATAGTTAAAGGAAATGGTGTCAAGGCCACAAAGAGTTATTTGTGCACCCGTGATCATTGTAGCACTGTTCATAATTGCCAAAACGTGGAAACATTGTCTGTTGATAGATGAATGTATGAATGTATATATGTGATATGTTTATATATCTGCATCTGTTTATATAAATACAAGCATACTATTGAATGTTAGAATAAAATTCTGCTATTTATGGCAACATGGATGATGCAAGAGAACATTAAACCAAGAGAAAATAAAACACTGTTTTGGTTATTTTTCTCTCATTGCTGAGATGAAATACCTGAAACCCAAAGTTGAAAGATAAAAGGTTTATTTGGCTCATAGTGTATAAAGGTTTCAGTCCATAATCAGCTGGCACCAAGGCATGGTGGTTTGGCAGAAGACCATTACAGAGGAGAGCAGTTTATGGTGAGCAGACTGTAGCAAATCAGCAAGGGAGAGAGACAAGACTGTTGCTCTCCCTTATAGATTCAGCCATCTCTCAAAATCCTGCCCCTTATAACTATATGAGGCTTTGAGGTGACATCTAGACACAGACCATAACAAAACAGAGAAAGAATAACTACATGTTCTTGATTTATACATAGAGTCTGAATTAGTCAGATTTATAGAAAAGGACAGTAGGGTGATGGTTGCCAAGGATTGGTTGGAGGAGAAACACAGTGATGCTTGGAAAAGGCACCAAATTTTCAGTTAGGCTTGATGAATTTCCGGAGATGTAGTAGAAAAGCATCATGTCTGTAGTTAACCCAAACTTTCAAACAATTCAAATACCACAGAAAAAGGTGTATCTATCTTTTAATGTAGAGATTTTCTCATTAGAATATATATTAATTTTTCCTAACAGGGGAAAAATTTAATAGTACTAGTGAAAGGTGTCAGGTTTGAGTAAGTGAAGCTTTAATTGAAATTTACAAAAGAAAGTCTATGAGTACTTGAAATGTCTAACTTGATCAGTGTGGTGTAGTGGAAAGAACTTAGGCTTTGGAAATGGCCAATCCAATTCCCTTCCTGATTTTTACTATATATTATATGGTAAAATATACTATGAAGCCCTGAGAAAGTTATTTTACATTATCACATTTCTGTTTCTTGAATGATAAAATGACAGTTAGTAGCATGTTTTGATGCTTAAATGAGGTCTTTATATAGAGAGAAACACTGCTAGAATGGCTGTTGCTCAACATGCAATCTTATTGTTGCTTTTACATGGCAGGTGTAGATCACTTAGTCACTTACGCTGTGTCACAAGTTGAATTCAACATTCAATGTCTTTTTTTTTTTTTTTTTTTTTTTTTGTCTTTTTCCTTTTTATTGGTACCAGGGATCGAACTCAAGATTGCCTGCTTGCAAGGCAGGCGCTTATGCTGCGGAGCTAAATCCCCAGCCCCCAACATTCAATGTCTTAAAAAAGAAAACACTTTTAACCCACAATTTCACTGAAATTAGTAGTAATAATTGCTTGATAATTCTTGCACTGGATCCCTGATGATTAAGTTGTGTTCAAGCTTTCAGTTGTGGACATGGTCTAGGGTGGGAGGGTCCACTTCCCAGCTTGCCCATGCAGTCACTTATAGGCTTCATTTCCTCTTTTACTATTACTGACTAGAAACTTTGGTTCTTGCCCAGTGGCCTTTCCTTGTTCCAGATGCTTTCCTAAGATGTTTAGTGGTTTTCCATAGAAAGTAATCAGAGAGTAGAGAGGAAAGAAAGAGTACAAGAGAACTGATAAAAAGGAAGCTTTACTGTTTTTGTAACATCACTTTGGTTACATCCTAGTATAAAAGAGGAGGAGATGGCACAAAGTTTTTAATACCAAGTGGTTTAGATAACTGGGAGCCATCTTGGATCCTGAATGCTACAAGTACCTAACAATGTGACAAAAGATGATGACCATTGTTTTGTAATTACAGGTAAATTATTTTATTACCTCTGACACTTGGAGTACTAATATGCATAGGATTAGCATGTAATTTGCATTGAGAAATAATTAGACTGAATTATATGAATATATATAAAATGAGCTAAGTAACATTTGGTACCTTCAGAAGAGTAATTGAATTTACCATTTAGTGGAAGATAATTTTGATGTTTTTCTTTTAACCTGAATCTTAAGAATTAGTTATTTAGAATGAATAAACCAGATATGAAAAGCAGTCTTCCTATTGTGAAACTGTACAAAAAGTTATGATATTACTTCATTTTTATTTTTTATTGTTTTAAATTTTATTTTAAAGATATTAAAATCCAGCAAAACAAAACAGAAGAAAGCCAGTCAAAACAAAGCAGCCAAATTGGTACAGAACTTCAAAGCAGGATACTAGGAAAACAACAATGCCTACCATAGTAAATCTTGTTATCTTCACAATAGTTGTCCACTCGAGCAGCTATAGCAAAATCAAACCAAAACAAAACAGAATAAAATTGAATAAAGCAAAAACAATCAGAATAAACCAAAACAGTGAGAACAGTGTTGGATTTCAAGGACAAGATAGAAGGAGCTCCCACATATTTGCTGTATTGCATATTGTCATCTTTCCAAGAGATGCTCAGACCTGGCCTCCAGCCTGCAAAATCAACCGGACAGTACAAGCATTTAGTTGCTTTATGTACCTTAGTTGCTGTCAACTCAGTCATTCCTCCAGACCAGTGGGTCACTTGGGGAGGTTAGGATCTTGATTTTCAGCCTGCCTACCATAGGAGGCCCTGATGTTTTTTTTTCCTGGAAGCCTTGTGGCTTGCACAGCTTACCAGAAGGGCTGGCTGGTTGGCTTCTTGTTGTACCCTCCCAGTCCCAGCATGACCGATTCTCCTATTTACTTCATTTTAAATCTTAAGTGAAGTGCTATGACACTACCATATTTCCTATTTTTTAATATAAATAAAATTATATAATGTATTTTCTCATTATATAATAAACTTCACATATTCGGGCAAACATCTATTACTCAAAATGTCCTTGATTTTTGAAGTTTTTTGACTAGATATTTTACTATGTATACCTTTTAATTCATTTCAGTGGTAAATTCTGCCTTCCATTGTATTATGGGTTATTGATTTCAACATTGTTCTATATATGTACTTGCATTTGTATAATATATATTCGTATTCATTCAGTTTCTGCTTTTATATAATTCATCCTCACTAGTGCTGAATCTTATTTTTTGGAACATGGAAAAAGTCTTTTACTTCTTGTATTTGATACAGTTTTAGTGAATGAAAGGCAGGTTTTTTTGTTTATTTATTAATTAATTTATTTTTGTAGAGCCAGGGTTCAAACCCTGGAAGCATGGAAGGCAAATTTTCTATATCCAACCACACTCTCAGCAGTAGGGCAGTTATTATACTGATCTTTAATCTGGAAGAAAACCCTCTCTTCCTTCATAGGATGAATTTTATGTGGATCACATGATTTTTCAGACTTCTTTCATTTTCTAGTCTCTAGAATAAAATCACTTATTTTTCTTGATTATGGTTTATATCAGGGATATTTAGTTTTATGAGGATAAGACATACACACTGTTTTCATTACAATTCATTATATGTTCTGTCCTCATGGTGGAGTACATGGTGGAAAATAAAAGCAAATGTTTCTATAGAGTCGTATCTAGTCTTGTGTTCTAAAGTTTGTGTGTCTATTCAGCTTTCAAAATAATTCCATGAGTCTGGCTCTATTTTTATTATTTTATTTTTGTTGATAAGAAAACTGAGACACAGGCTAAAATTCTGGCCCAGGTTACACAGCTACTAAAAGTAAGTGGTCAAGGTAGATTATGGGCACTAGTGGTCTAGCTTCATAGTCTGTGTCTTCATTCATTAGTCATACTTTTGCAGCTTTTTTCATTTTTATTTATATTTCATAAGACATTTACCTGTTTGCCCTTCTGTTAAATTGTGTATTTTGAAATGAAGAATTTGATAATTTACCGTACCTAGGAGAAAGATGTCCGGAAGTGGAAGGAAGAATTATTAGATCAACGGCGTAGGATGATGGAAGAGAAATTACTTCATGCTGAATTTAAACGAGAGGTGCAATTACAAGCAATTGTGAAAAAAGCACAAGAGGAAGAAGCCAAGGTATATTATAGATGTTTCAAGCACTTAATCATTTACCCAAGTAATTGTTTCAGGTATTATATAATGGTAATAGAAGTTAATGTTTATTGAGTGTTTATTCGGTTCCAGGGTAACAGAACATTTTACTGGCTCATTTAAAATTTACTAGATACAATGTCTTATTTTATCCTTATAATAATTCTATAAAAATATTTTTTACAGCTCTATTTAGGTATAATTGACAGAGAATAAGGAATAATACATACATTAAATATTTGATTTGATGGGTCAGGTATCTACTCTTGAAACTACTGGTAGTATGAATGTAATAATTCCTTTCTTCTGCTCTGGTACTATGCAATTGCTCTTCTGCTTTCTGTTGCCAAAATGTTTGCATTTTCTTAAACTTTACGATAATGGAGTCCTGTAATTTGTACCCTTTCCTTTCCTCTGGCTTCTTTCACTCAGCATAATTATTTGAATTTTTTCCATGTCGTGGTGTGTATTCCTTTTCATTGCCAAGAGGCCTCCCATTGTATGGAAATACTTTTAATTTTTAATCCAGTTACTCATTGATAGATATTTGTTCTTGTCCCAGTTTTTGTATATTATAGGTATAGCCTCTGTGGACATCTGCTTACAACTATTTTTGGAGACTTGTGCTTTCATTTTTCTTTTGCAAATATCTAGGAGTAGATTGGAAGAGTTATGGTAGGTTCATGCTCAAAACAATTTTTAAGCTGGTAAAACTATTTTATATTTGTACCAGCAGCAAATGAGTATACTAGAACATTTATACTAGGTATACTAGAACATTTTGACCAACATGTGGCACAGTTACATGTTTTAATTTTAGCAATCCCATTTTAATATGAATATAATATCTCAAGTTTTTTCCTATTTTTTTGTGTGAAAACACACATAAAACTTACTATGTTTTATGCAATTTAGTGGTGTTAAATACAGTCATAATTTTATATAACCATTCACTGTCCATGTTCAGAAATCTTTTTTTATTTTGTAAATCTGAAACTTTATATTCATTAAACAGTAGCTATTTATTCCTTTCCCCTGCCCGCCAGTCCCTGGCAACCATAGTTTCCTTTTCAAATTCTTTAATTTTTGCTACTTTGTATAGCTCATGTAAGTGGAATAACATCATAATGCCTTTCAAGTCTTCAGTGTTGTAGCACCTCTCAGAATTTCTTTCTTTTTCAGCTGAATAAAAGTTTGTTGTTTAAAATACCACTTTTTGCTTATCCTTTCATCCACTTGTTGCATCATTCTCAATGACGCAATAAACATGAACATCAGTTTATCTGTCTCTTTGAGTCACTGCTTTCATGTCTTTGCAGTATATACCCAAGAGTGGAATTGTTGGATCAGATAGTAATTCATTTTTAATTTGAGCAATAATGCTATTTTCCTTATCACTTATATAATGTTGCATTCCCATTGGTAGTACACAGGGTTCTTGTTATTCTACATAATGTCCAACCTCATTTATTTTCTGTGTTTTTTATAGTAGTCATCCTAATGCACAGCTGGTAGCATTTCATTGTAGTTTTAATTTGTGTTTTTCTAATGGTTAGTGAGTTGAATGTCATTGCATGTACTTATAGCCATTTGTGTATCTTTTGAGAAATGTCTGTTCTAGCACTTTATTTTTGAATGAAGATGTTGAATTGTTGAGATTTTTATATTCGCTATATATTCTAGATATCAATCTCTTACCAGATATGTAGGATTTAAAGTATTTACTTTCATTCTGTGTGTAGCTTTTTTTTTTTTTTTTTTGTCTTTTTCCTTTTTATCGGTACTGGGGATCGAACTCACGACTGCCTGCTTGCAAGGCAGGCACTTATGCCGCTGAGCTAAAATTTTTACTATGTTGTCATTTGATGCACAAGGTGTTTTAATTTTAATGAAGTTGTTTGCCTATTTTTTTAATAAACTTCCTGTTTTTACCTAGTTTTTTCATGTTTTTCTATCTTTGATGTCATATCCAAGGTATCGGTGCCAAATCCAATGTCATAGCTGGGCATGGTGGCGCATACTTGTAATCCCAACATTCTAGAAGCTGAGGCAGGAGGATTGCCAGGAGTTTAAGGTCAGCCTGGGCTACATAATGAGTTCACCCTGTCTCAAAAAACAAAACAAAACAAAACACAAATCCAGTGTCATGAAGCTCTTCTGTTACATGCTCTTCTAAGAGTTGTATAGATCTTACATTTAGGTCTTTGATCCATTTTGAATTAATTTTTGCTTGTAGTATTTTAATTTTTTTCCCTTAATGATATTGGGGATTGAACCCTCAGGCCTTAACATTGCGTTACATCTTCAGCCCTTTTTAAGCTTTTTTGAGACAGAGTCTTGCTAAGTTGTCCAGATTGTCTTCCTACTGTATCCCCAACAACTTTTTTAAAAAATTATTTTTAGATTATTTTATTTGCTTTCCTATTTTTCTACAGACACAAATCCTCAGTTTAACTTTCCATGACAATATAAATGGATTCAGTGCTTACCAATCTTCCACCACTAAGTTGTTTTCACATCTATCTTGGTTTGTTGGAGCTTAAAAGTGATCTTTCCAGAGTGCTCACATGTGTTGTACTCCTTGAATTCTTGGGTATTTCTGAACTTCAGCATTTTTGTATAAATTATGTCTTGGGTGAAGACCATATTAGTGATTCGCAGTATCCTTCCTTCAGGAAGACACTGTTTTGTGTCTAGCATTAACTTTCTGAGGAGAAGACTGTCTGAGGCCACACTGAGTTTTTGCATTCTTTTTTTTTGTTGTTTGTTTGTTTTCCTTTTTATTGCTACCAGGGATCAAACTCAGGACTGCCTGCTTGCAAGGCAGGCCAGTTATGCCACTAAGCTAAATCCCCAGCCCCTAAGAGTTTTTGCATTCTTATAGATAACTTGCATTTACTGTTTGGAAGTTAAAATTTTATTGTTCTTTCTTAATGTTTTATAATGTAGTAAGAACATTCTTCGTGTTGATCTTCCAAATCTACTTTTCGTGGGATAATGTAGGTTCTTTTAATCTTCAATTTGCTTCTTCCCATCAGAGTATGTTTCTTATATTTTATGTTGGAATATTTTCTGTTGCCTTTTTACGTACATAGATACTATTTACCGTTGTCTTTCTATTAGGTAACCTTGACTTGTTCTCCATAAAGCTTATTTATTTATTGACTTGGTCTCAGTTAAAAAATAAATATTAACTGATCAACATAATTCTTTTCATGTTAGTAATTTAAGGGCTTTCTGTCTCTATTCTGTTCCATGCTTTTCCTAATTTAATTACTTCCATCATAGCATTACTTTTCTGCTGTTTATTTCCTTAGCTTTCTAATCGCCATTTATTTTTATTGTTTTGTTATTTTATTGTCTTCTGATTTCTGATTTCTTCAGTGTTGCAAAGTTTGCATAGGAAATTTTCTTTTTTATTTAGTTATATCTTTTTTCTTGATCCAGTTCCCCCACCAGCTTATGCTTATTCTCTTTTGTCTTAATTTTATTTATTTGGTTGGTATAGTAGGTATTATTTCTTTTTCTTTCATCTTGATTTATGCTTAATATGTGAGTCCTGATACAGTATGAATAAGTTTTTCTTTAATGTACTTTTTTTTTTTGTCTTTTTACCGGTACCGGGGATCGAACTCATGGCTGCCTGCTTACAAGGCAGGTGCTTATGCCGCTGAGCTAAATCCCCAGCCCCTTTAATGTACTTTTTATTGTGTTCTTTCAGTATAGTTTGAAAAATACTTATATGGTTGATATACTTATGAAATTGTGCTTATGTAAAGAGCAAAATAGAAAAACAATAAACAGAAGTAGAGAGAAGTTCAGATACTTAAAATATTTCAATATATATGTTAGGATGTTTCATTTATACTAAAAGTTTATCTTAGTTTGTTGAAAAGAAAGTTTATTTCCAGTTGTTTCTTTTTGTAAGTCTTTTTGGTTTATGTTTTGTACTGAGTAGCTGCTTTGAAGATAATGATACAGAGTGTGATAATTATTTCTATTCTCTTACTTTGTTATGAAACTGTTTTTTCATAAAATAAGAAATTGTGTTTGTGGCCCAGAGATTGGGAAAGATGAATGAGAATTGTATTCAAATCTCTTTGTGTGCTTTTATTTATCCTGAGTTAGGTTTTACAGAACAGTATGGATTTCTGATGTCTGCTTCTGTCAGAGTTAGCTCCAGAGTTCACATCCCTCTTTTGATATGTTGTTTTCACTGTGACATGTCTTCCCTCTAGCTTTCAAGAATAAGAGATTTAATCCCAACTGATGCTTTGAGCCTTATCATTAGCCATACTTTACTCCTCAAAGATGTATTGTCTAGCACAGGGTGGGTAAATGCATGGCACGGGTGTTACTTGTTTTTCTTTTAAAACAAAAGATGTTAATCAGTGAGTTATTTTTTCTGAACGAAAACTTCATTATTTAGATTTAATTGCAGTGTTGGCATTTTACAGTAAATAAGTGGGTTTTGCCTTGTAGTTTGGGCAGAAGTTGATATTGAGTGTGAGGATGCTGTGTACAGTTCAGTGTCTTGAGTTTAACTGTCATTCATTTAATGTGTCAAAGGAAAATGTTTTGTTATTATAACTTTCATTCTCTCCAACTGATTCAATTAACATGAATTACCTAATTAACTATAGTGTAGTGAGTGTAATTTGAAACTACAATTGTTTGAAGTAGAACTCTGTAAGATAAAGTTGTATGAATCTTAAATTCTTAAGAAGTTGTTTTGTAAATTAAAACTATTTTCTGAGGCAGCTTCTAAATCAGTTCTTATGAATAAAGCCTGTGAGTTTGTTAAATACATTGGATTATGATTTATTTTGAGGTACATATTGGAAGAAAAACCCATAAGTCACTCATTTTTCTTTGTGCCTTATCATTGGTTTATATTTTATATTAAAACCATTGTTAAGGTTCTTAGTCTTATGATGTGTCCTAGATTAACTTGATTTGAACCCTACTTTCTTTGTGTTTATTGAAGGTAAATGAAATTGCCTTTATAAATACCCTTGAAGCACAGAATAAACGGCATGATGTTTTATCAAAATTGAAGGAATATGAACAGAGACTTAATGAGTTACAGGAAGAGCGACAGAGAAGACAGGTAGAAAAGCAAGCACGCGACGAAGCTGTGCAGGTAGGATTTGATTCTACAAGCATTTGCTGAGCACCATCTCTCATTTCCTAGGCTCTGGGTAAGGTGCTAAGGATCCAGGAGTAAAACTTCCTCTCTGTTCTTGATGTGCATGGTTAACATAGGACTTCTTGAAAACAGTCTGCTGGAAACAGTGTTTACTTTTTCAGATAAGGTTGTCAGCACCTTCAGTAGATGGCAGTCATAGAAACAGAATCTCTAGATGAAGGGTTGAACTCTTAACAGATTATTATCTATTCTTTTCTAATTGGGTTGGGCAAGAATATGGTCCTCTTCTCCTAATAAAAAAAGATGGCTTTTGGCCAAGTATATATAGCCATAAGAACTGGATCATCTTTTTTCTTATGAGAAGGAGCACCTGTCATTTACTGGCCAGTATCACCCGATACTTTACACCTCTGCAGCAGACCTTAAGTAAGCTGCCATTTTCAGGATAGGAAGAAAGGTTAAGCCATGAACTGTTTCTGTTTATGAAGTATTTTAGGTTTTCTTTAATAAAGTATCTTGCCCTTAGATTCTTTTAAGTGCTTACATTTTTGGTATAAAGAACAAATTTGCAGTGTTCAAATACACATTCAAACTTACTGTATCTATTGTAACTAATATTTATTTGTTCTTTGACTTAGTGATCATTTGAGTTGCTGCAAGTTATGTGCCATGATTGGCTTGAGGATATGAAAAATATATGTACTTTTTCTCAGTAGGAAGACATATTCAAAAACAAACTTGAACAGGTTAAGTACTATAATAAAGGCATTTTCATAGCTAGGAGACCACTTTACTCACATAGGGAGTGAAGAGGATATGAGAAAGGGAGTTTTCAGAAGAAGATACTTCAACTAGATTTGCAAAGGTGGGACAGTTGCATGCTGAGATGTAGCGTGGGAGGGCATGCATTCCACACACAAGGAGATAGGAACGATTACTGCGTGGAGAATTGGGGAGAGTAGAGCATAGAAACTTCGTAATGATAGAAATTAGGGATATTGATACTTTCTGCTTCATGTCACTGGTGATTTTAAGAAATTAAAAATGTTAATGTGTTTTTAAGTTTATTGATTATATTTCACATTTATAGACATTAACAAGCACTTTGAGATTCATCCCTGATTTCTGTTTGGTTTGAGTCCATGTCTTGAATAATAAGCTAACACGTGTTAAAAATATAGAATGGTTCTACTAAAGAAACTACCTTGTATTAGTTAAGGCTCCCTAGAAGAAGGGCCACAATGGATAGAAAATAGATGTGTGCTTATGCAAGGGAATTTACTAGCTAAGCCAATAGGATTGGAGATGGGAGAGTCCATAGTGACCATCTCTGCATGCTGGAGAGTGGAAGGAGCCAGTGCTGCTCATCCCAGGAAGATAAAGGGATCAGGGATATAACACCAGCCCAAAGTTAAAGGCTTAGAAGCTCATGATAGAGTCACTAGCAATAATTCTGTTGGTGGGATAGGGAAGACTTTCTGGAAAAGGTGACTTCTTTTCTGGATTTAGGAGAGAAATATATAATCAATATTATATATTTTTAAATGTACATCTTTGATTCCTTTCATTACCTTTTATACATTTGAAATTACATAATTATCTTCAGTTGAAAATGATGACTCGACTCTTGCTTAATAATTTGGAACATTAAAGCTTAAAGGAAAGCAGTTTACTAAAAGTATTAAGGAACTTTTTATGGTAAAAACATTATTGTCTTAAACATCAAATGTTTAACTTTTTCTTCAGAAAGTTCCTATTAGTAAAATAAAGTGTTTGATTATTTAGGGCTGACTTACATTTTCAGTATGACAGAAATTCAAATTCAAAGGCTTCAGATTCACTCAGTTGTAAGACAGGGTCTATGTTCAGGCCCTAAACTAATGGCACAATATTCCAGGAAATTAAAAACTCATTGAAAGCTGGTCAAACCACTAGAGAGAAACTAAAGATAAGCTTTCAGACCTTGAAGACAGGTTTGAAGCTAGTGATAATGAAAGGAAAGATCTCTTAAAAATATTAAGGAATCAGGGGCTGGGGATTTAGCTCAGCGGCATAAGCACCTGCCTTGCAAGCAGGCGGTCGTGAGTTCGATTCCCGGTACCGATAAAAAGGAAAAAGACAAAAAAAACCAAAAAAACAAAAAACAAGGAATCAGGAAATAACAATTCAGCTGTAAGAAAACACAAAGAAAAATTTTGAGTGATGTCAGCAAAAAATCAGGGGTCAACCAATGACATAAAGAAAGACTATTTACAGAAGTAATACCAGAAAACTTCTCAAACATGGGAAAAAGACAAGAAAAGAATATTAAAGACTGTTAGAAACAAGAAACAGATCACCTACAAAGGAAAATCCATCAGAATCACAAACCGTTAAGTCAAGAACTTGGAGTGAAGAGTTTCAAATCCTAAAAGAAAACAAATTCTAACCCATATTGATGTACTCTGCAAAACTATTTTTCAAAATTGATTGAAAGTAGATACTTCATTGATAAAGAACAACTGAAGGAATTTATGACCACCAAACCAATCCTACAAAGAGTGCTAAAGGATATTCTAGAGAGACATAAAGATGATCACGGTTCCAGGAACAGCAGCAGAGGGGTACCACCAAACAGGGCAGGCAAGTGAATGTTGGGGACCAATAGTAGGAGGATAGCTTGGCAGAGATAAGCCACTGCATGCCAGTTGTAACCATTAATGTAGATGACCTCAATTCACCAATAAAAAGAAACACAGGAGAGTGGATCAAGGAATAAGATCCATCAATATGTTGTATACACAAAACATTTAACTTGAAATTCATAGACTGAAAGTCAAGGAAGAGAAAATAATGTTCCATGTGACAAGAAACCAGAAAAAAGCAGGGGTAGCTTGCCCATCAACTGCAGAATGGCTAAGAAACTTTATATAGTATTTTTATACAATGGAAAGTTACTCAGCTGTAAAAGAGGATAATTTCAAAGCACCTGTAGGTAAATGGATGCAGTTTGAGATTGTGCTCATGGGTGAAATGGTTCAGATTCATAAGGATGAACAATCTCCCTAGAATAAAAAACTGAAGGATGGGGGCTGGGGATTTAGCTCACTGGCATAAGCACCTGCGTTGCAAGCAGGCAGTCGTGAGTTCGATCCCTGGTACCAATAAAAATGAAAAAGACAAAAAAAAAAAAAAAGAAGGATGTGCAATAGATATTGTGAAAGTAATAGGGGAGGAAACATCTAAAAAGATGGTAACCACTGTTAATTTCCTATTGTTTTGAGTTCCTGAATCATTTTCTTTTGACCAGGCGCTAAACTAAATCCCCGGCCCTCCTGAATTATTTTCATTGTTCTGTTAGGTTTAGTTTTACTCTATTTTGTTTTGATTTTATTATATCTGATGGCATGGGCACCTATTTCAAAGATAACAAAATACTTTATGGTAGCTATTGTTGATTTCCTGTCATCGAGTTTTGAAGTCCTATAATGCTTCCATTATTTTCATTTATTTTGTTGTTTTGTTTTTATTATGTCTGATGGTATGTACTGCTATTTTGAAGAAAATGAGACATTATGGTAGCCATTGTTGATTTCCTATTATCTTGATTTTGTATCACTTTCATTGTTCTGTTTTGATTGGCTTTATTTTGCTTTTTTTTGGTTCAGTTTTATCATCTTTGAAATAAAAAAAGAACATTTTTATACCAGATTTGATTGTTTTCAGTCTTAAGAGATTGTGAGATTTTGAGTAGCTAATAAACAAGTTTCCATATATTCTGGATCAGTAATGAGACACAATTTTAACCAGTTTATGAATAGTATGGCATACACTAAAAAGTATATTTAATATCTAATTGCATGCTTCTTACAGTCTGTAGTGTGCCAGCTATGTCTCCCTGAAATGAGGGCTTTCCCTCCAATTTCCAGTCTCTCTTTGGCAAGTAGAGGTGGAGAGGAGGGATAGTGAGAATGATTCCTTCATCTTTCAGGCTTCCTGAAGAGGTTTTCCCTAGGGTAGGTAGAGCTTGTCACAGAGGCAAAGTTACCATTGCAAGCTCAGTAACCTATTGGAAATGCTTGAGTATCTTCAAGTGTTAACTGGATAGAAACTAGCTCATTTTTTTCCTGATGTCCTTTACTGAGCCCTTACTATGGGTAAACACTCAGTTGAGTAGTTACCTATGTCAATAATTTAGGATCTCACAGGCCAACAAGGGTCTTTAAGGCAAAGTGACTTTTCCATGGCCATATATATGTAAGTAGGAGATGTCAGAGCCTAGATCAGCATTTTCCATTAATCGTCAGGGAAGGGAAGGGATAGATGGTGTTATATGGAGAATAGATAAGATTGAAAGAAAGGTGTCAGTTCAGCTTGGTAACACAGTGAGCATTAGCAAAATGCTTCTAGGTAGAAAGTACACAAGATAGTATTTCATGTTAAAGCTCACTGTTTTGATGCGGTATCTTCTGCTTTGATGATCATAACTAGTTATTCAGAATTTACTGCATTCCAGGGTCTATAGTAAATGTTATATAATATCTAAGTCCTAAGCAATATGTATAACTGTTATTTATCTTTCAGAAAACTAAAGCAAAAGGAGTGTAACTCCGTAGACTGGATTCACTCAGCTAGTAAATAATGGGACCTGGAAAGAAAACCAGGGAATCTGGCCTAGTGTCCTCTGTCATACCCATTATGATGTATTAAGTTGCCTCTTTTGCCTTCCCAAAAGCTTTCTTCACTTAATTACATGATGAAACCTTATTTTGGAAATAAAATCTATTAACTATAACCTTTTCATTATGTTTAGCTATTTCTATAACTGTATAGTAACAAGGTTTTTGAAATGATTAATCAGAAAATACGTATTAGATTCCTACAGAACATGTAGCAACATAGTGTTTGCTTAAAGTAATATTTCTTCTCATAATCATGTGTAATGCTGCTAAATGATTCATGACAAGAGTGTCATGTTTGATTTTTGTTTAAATTCAGAGAAGCAGTGTATGCAGTAGTAAGCCATAAATATATAAAGTTGAGTATTTAAAGTAGTATGGATGGTATGTCACTTTTAATTACTTACATTTACATGTAATTCTAATACCTTTTAAAAATATTTTGAACATCAGGAACGCAAGAGGGCTCTAGAAGCAGAACGGCAGGCTCGTGTAGAAGAATTGTTGATGAAAAGGAGAGAACAGGAAGCTCGTATTGAACAGCAGAGGCAAGAGAAGGAAAAAGCCCGTGAGGATGCAGCTCGAGAGAGAGCAAGGTATCTCATTTGCTATCTAGATTTTGATTATGAGGAACATTTTACACTGAGTAAATATTTAAATCGGACCTTAAAAAAGCCATTTGATGTCACATTTATTTTTTAGAAATAGTCACAAAAATTTAAATGTACCAGATTGTGATTCTAGGGTATTGTGACATTACACTCAAAATGGAAATTTCTTGCAACTTTCTGTTGTGACTGTTGATATTTTAAGATACTTGATTGAAAAATTGAAATCCGATTTTGGCTAGCTTAAGCAAAAAGGAATCTTTTGGGTATCTGTTAGGGCATGAGTAATAGACCAATTCAAGTTACTTTGGTATTGCTTATGATTTCTTTGGTACATAGATTATTTAAAGGTATGATTTCCAACTGTTTAGGAATATCACACAATTTTTCTGTTACTTATTTCTAATGGAATCTTTTAGGCTAAAGCACGACATTTTGTATAGTTTTGGTGCATAATTTACATTTTTCTAGCCTCCGATGTAGTCTCTCTTGGACTTTCTCTGTGCCCTTTGAAATTACACATCTTCTGTTGCTAGTGAAGGGCTTCTTTCTATCAGTGTGGTAGAGGTAGAGTTCCTACATCTTTGTGACTTACCAAGTTTTAGTTTAGTTCTCTCAACTCTTTGAGAGAAGATACTTGAAGTATCCAAATGTAAAAGGTGAAATGTGTATTTCATATTTCAGTTTTCAGTGTTTCATGTAGTTTGATGCTTATTTAAGTGCAAGGAATTAATCACTGAGAGACTAATCCTTTTATTTTGAAATGTTTCTCTTTGGTTTCTAAACAGTATTTCTTGCCTTAAGGATAATTTTTTTCTGTGATAAATATAATCATAGTTCCTATTTACAAGGTACATCTTATGTCCTTTCATCTTTATCCTATTTGTGTTTTTGTTTCTTAAACATGTCCTTTACAGACTACGTTTAGTTGTGTTTTTGCTTTTCTATCTGGTCTGCTAATTTTTGCCTTTTAATTGGAATATTTAATTGGAATGGAGTACATTGTCACTTGATATAATTATTGATTTTGATTAGATTTATGTCTGTCATTTGATAATTGTTGTCCATATCAAATTTTTTTTTGTCTCCATGTTTACTGCCTTGTTGTTAATAAGCAAGCACTTTCTGGTGAAAAAATTTCAACTTCTTTAATTTGTTTATTTTATAGAAAAAAGGTAAAACAAAATTTCATACAAAGTAATATAGTAACAATATTAATATATTACACGTTATCTTTTTTTTTCTTTTTTTTCTTTTTTTCTTTTTTTTATTTAAAGAAAAGGAAACAAAAAATACATGGAGATAAAAAAAGGGTAGAAATAATACAAAATTACAGAAAAACAAACGGTAAGAAATTGCTGGTTGATAAGTTACACATTGACATCTTAGAAATAGCTGTTCAGGTTATAGAATTATAGTATTTAGAATGACATTCAAAAAGTGACCCTACGTTTGTTCTGCTCTATGATCGAACAAAAGCTCAGTAATATGGTTATCAGTCCTACACATTTGTTTTACATCTCAAAGAAGGTAAGATTAAACATATCAAAACAGAACAGAACATTTAAAAAAACAATTTAAAGAAATACAGATTTCAAAGCAAGTCCACTGGAGATCTTCATTATCTAACTGTCTCTAGTTTCTTACAAATAGTTGTCCCTATCTTCACCCACTTTATATACTTATTGCGTATTATAGAACTAATCAAATCATTACAGGATGAAGTCTTTTTAGGTCCTCAAGTTCCAAATTAGGGAAGAAAATAGTAACTACCATCGCATCTCTCATTCTCTTTGTGATAGCTGTCCCCATCTCTACATATGCTGAAATTGAACTCAAGAAACCAGTCCAATGTCATTCTAATCAGTGAACAATAGATTGCTAGAATTTATATTATAATACTACAAAATAAGCCTCGGGTTTCTCAGCATCTCTTCCTCAGAGTATCTGTTCCTTACATCTTGCATTATATAATCTGTTTCCGTAAATAATTTTAAAAACCCATGTGTGAATTTCTACATATATATCTATCCTCTCTGTATTATAGGGAAAACCAAGTCATAGCAAGACAGCAAAACAATTTCCTAGAAAAACATGCAATGGATAAGACATATAAGACTACAATATAAATGATCTTCCATAGCTACTATGTTTTCTCTTGTTATTTTCAATAGATTTGTCCACAACACTGGCTTATTATAGTTAAACATAGTATCACCTATTTTTATAAAAACTTAACTTTGACAGCATTGTAGGATTTGAGAGCTGTTACTAATAATACCCGTATGGATATCCTTTACATCTTGTCATCCTCAGAGTAGTTGCCTCTACTTTTAGGGTTGATACTAACAAGCATACCAATTTCAAATAAAATCAGCCAAGGCCAACCCATAGTCTTATGATTCAGATTCAATTAAGATCAGTCATATTAAGACAATGTAAGTAATACAGGATTTCAGTTTAAGTTAATAGAAAAATAAGGATAGTTACCATGGTATAACCTGCTATTTTTGGTTCAAGATGTCTGTGCCCTCAAATCTGACATGAGTAGACAGACCAGAACATATTAAATTCAAACTAAATATGGCAATAGGACTACTGTGTCTTTTAAATCGTTATACACCATTAACAATGACCTCTGCCTTTTTTTTTATATAGTTTCAGAGCTGTCTATACTAAAGACTATAGCTTACCGTCTCTGCCTCATGTCTGCTACTCCACTTTTCTGCTATAATTTGTCCACCTTATTCCCTCATTCCATTGTCTGCCCTGTTCACTGAGGCCTCTCTGCCACTGTTGCTGGAATCCTTGTATCTCTTCCTCTCTTTCTCTGTAATGTCCTTCAGCACTCTCTGTAGGGTTGGATTGGTGGCCACGAACTCCCACAGTTCCTCCTTGCCTTGAAAGTATCTTATTTCTTCATTAATTTTGAGAGAGAGTTTTGATGGGTATATGAACTTTGGTTGCATATTTTTTTCTTTCAGGACTTGGAATATTTCTCCCCACTCCCTTCTTGACTTAAGAGTTTGTGTTGATAAGTCTGCTGTTATTTTGATAGTTTTCCCGTTGTAGGTAATCTGCATCTTTTCTCTGGCTGCTTTTAATATTCTGTTCTTTTGGTGGATTTCTGGAATCTTGATTATTATATGTCTAGGCGTAGATCTGTTTTGGTTGTAGGTAGCTGGTGTTCTGTATGCCTCTTTTATCTGGATATCATTTCTTTTTGCTATACATGGGAAATTTTGCTTTAATGTATCTGTGAATATTCTTTGTATTTCATTTTTGGTTGCTCCTGCTTCCTCACTCACATTCTTTATTCTTAAGTTATGTATCTTTTTGTCATCCTCCAGTTTTTGAATTGCTTCTTTCTGGTTCCTTGTTATTTTTAAGAGGCTTTTTCTTTCACGATCATATGCCATAAATCTCTCTTCAAGTTTCAGAAGGCTGTCTTTAGTTTCTGTCAAGGCATTTTGCCAGTGTTCAATGGAGTTTTTAGTTTCCTGGTATTCTCTTTGGATCTGTTTCATGTATTCTAAGTTATGTTTAAATTCTTCAGAAGTTTCTCTTTCTTTTCTGATTTCCTCAGTTCTTCCATCTGTGTTCTCTTGGGCGGGGCTTGTCATTTCTTTAATTAATCTCTTTATATCTTGCCTCACTTGGATCAGGAGTACAGCTTTAAATTCCTCTGTGAGATCATGTAGGTACTTTTTAATTTCGGCTGATGCTGTGTCGAGCAATGGATGGTTACTGTGCTTGTTCTCTTCAGTGTTTACTTCTCCTGGACTTATTTTCTCATGTTGGGCAGCTGGGGATTTTTTTAAATTTTTATCTCTTGTCATGTTTCTGGTTTCTTTCAGACTGTCCTGGGGTTCTCTGGCCCTCTCTGAATTGCTTAGGGCCTTTCAAAAGTGTGCTGACTTGAGTTTTTGCTGTCCTCCCCAATTTGCTGTTATCTGGGGTAGCTGGGATGCAGGGGCAGTACAGGCTAGTCTCCAGCCTCTGTGCCAGTTAATCCATAAATTAGGCCGTACTTTCTGGATGTCACTGAGTTGTGACTATTTTGTATCCGCTTATTGGGCTCCAAGCAGAGGTTTGGTTTAGCCCCAGTAACTCCTGCCAGTTCTCTTTGTACCAGAAGCAGCTGACTAATGTCACTATGGCACAGGGTTCTGCCCAAATCCCAGCTGTTCTCTTCCAGACCTCTCTGTGACAGGAGCACCAGAACAGCAGATCTGCCCAAATCCAAGGTGTCTCCCACTAGTTCTCTGTATGGAGCTGAAGCCAGTACGTAATCAGGCTGTGCCCAATTTCAAGATGTCTTCCACCAGCCCTCCCTACACGCGGACCTGGTGATGTCACCGAGCTGTAGTTTCTGCCCAACACTAAAATGTCTGCCGCCAGACTCTGTGTTATTGATTTCCCCGTGGTGGCGGGCACTGTCCAGTTCCAAGATGTTCTCTGGCCAACCCCAGCAGCCGCGGGGTTCCCAGTACTCACCAGAGTCCGGCGCAGGTCCTCGTCCCGGGTCCACCACACACCAAGCTGCCCACGTTTCCCGCACTCCCGGCACAGCGCGGAACGGTGCACAGCATGCACTCCTGGCACAGTGTGGAGCGGTCAGAAATCTGCACAGTGTTTGGCTTTGGAACTCCAGAGCCTTATACTATCTCCTCTGGTGCAGTGGTGCAGTCCTGGCTGCTACTCGGACTCCCGGGTCTCAGTTTCCCGCAGTCACCAAAAGCCAACACAGCTTTTCCTGCTGGGTCCACGGGTCAGTTTGTTGATTTAAAGGCACGGGATTTGCAGCCTCCCGTTATCAGTGTTCATGGTCTCAGCATGACTTTAAATCCTCCAGCTGCACTGTCTTGGTTAATAAGAATCGCTATCGATTTGTTTGGCCCTCTCCATGTTGTCATATTTTAGCTTCTAGTATGATTTCTCCGGGGAGACTCTTCGCTCGATCCCCTAGCAAGCCGCCATTTTGATCG